TGCTCCGCTCAGCTCCTGCAGGCTGGGCCAGGGACAGCACCCCAGAGACCTCTCCCCTTGGAGCTGCACGGGGGGCACCTCCTGCTCCCACCACCTCCCTCCTCCTCCTCCTCAGGGTGCGAACCTGCCCAGCCCCCTGGGCAGAGCTGCAGCCCGGCAGGTGCTGGGCCAAACCCCACCTGTGTTGGGGACAGAGGAGGCGCTGGTGGAGCCGATGCTGTTGGCCCGGGACACTATGCTGCCTTTCCGGGCGTTCTCCATGAAGAGCGCTGAAAGGAGAGCGCCCCGGGGTCAGCGCCCAGCGCGGGGTGTCACCGGGCCCAGGAGAACGGGGGGGGGGCGTCCCCGGGTGCGCGGGGGTGGCACCTACCGGAGTCCAGGCCATTGTCGCCGTAGGCCGCGTCCACCTGCACGGGGCCGGCGGAGACACGTCAGCGGGGCCGGGCTGCGACCGCCCCCCGCCCAGGCATCGACCCCCGCGCCTTCCTCGCCCCGCCCGCCCGGCCGCCCTCCATGGTGCCCGCCCGCCGCCCCGGCGGCGCTCCCGGCCCGGCCCCACCTTCCCCCAGGGCTCCTCGCCCCCGCCCGGCGGCTCCGCCATCTTCCGCCCGCCCGCTCATGTGACCGCCGCGGGGGCCGACGGGAGCCGCGCCCGCCGCCAGGGGGCGCCCGCGCCTCGGTGCTGGTGTGACGTCATGGTCGTGATGTAATCGTGATAACGTAGTCTTCCGTGACGTCATCGCTGCATCAGCACCGGGGGCCACGTCCATAAGGGCAGCTCGGAGGGGCCGGGGGCACCCGAGCCCCTGTGGAGGTGAGGGGGGGGTGTACAGAACTGGCACAGGGACACGGGACCGGCACACGGACATGCACAGTGGGAGCAGCCTCTTTACTGGCTCAGCCCTGCAGGGTCCCCCGAACTGCGGGGACATCAGGACACCCCGGCCCCACTCATGGAGCTGGACGGGCTCGGTGGGCTCGGTCCCGCGCTGCTCCGTCCGCCGGCTCTCGCGGGGCAGTGGTGGACACGGACCCTCCTGGGGCCGTGCAGGACTGCCCCTCACAGGTGGGGCTCGTGGCCGGGCTCTGGGCGCAAGCGCTGCTGCAGCAGGTCCCAGGCCTTCTGCACCTGCCAGAGAACCACCCGGGACGGCACCTCAGAGCCCACGGACACCCAGAGCGGCACCTCGGCACAGGGTCACACAGGGCTCCCACGCCTCCTCTCCCTTCCCAGCTGCCTCTGCATCCCCAAATCCCTCCCTGGTGGCCGTGTCCAGAGGCAGCCTCGACGGTGAGAGAGCACCCAGGCACACGGTGCCCAGCCCGGGCACAGCACGGAGCCCTCTGGTCCCCCAGGACGCCCCCAGCGCCGCGGCAGCCCCGGGCTCACCTGCTGCCGGGTGATGTCCGGCTCCCAGAGGGTGCAGAGAACCACCTGCGCCCGCTCCACCCGCTGCCTGTTGGTCATCTGGCTCTGCAGCCGGCGGCGAGCGGCCTCCTCGCTCAGCCCGTCCCGGGCCACAACGCGCCTCACGGCCTGGCAGGGACACAGGGGACACTCAGGGGAGGCCGAGGACCAGCTCTGGCAGCGGGCAAGGGGCCTGGGGCGTGGCCCACCTCCTCCTCTGGGATGATGGCCGTCCACACCTCGTGGACCATGTCCTCCCACCCGGCCTCCAGCAGCACGGCAGCGTCCAGCACGCACATGGCCTTCCCTGCGGAACGAGGGCATTCCTCGGTGCCTGGCCATGGATGGAGCGACAGCTCCTCGGCTCTGGCCCAGCCCAGCTCAGTTCCCCGCTTCCTGCAGCACAGACACTTCGCTGCTGAGCTGAGGCTGCGATGGAGCCGCCCCCATCACCTTGAGCGTCGGCCTCCCGGATCTGCTCCCTCGCCATCCGGGCTATCTCGGGCCACACAATGTCCGTCAGGCTCTTCAGCCGCTCCTACGAAGGACCAGGGCGGGATTCGGGATTTGCTCCCTTACCCTCAGAACTCGTGGGCAGCCAATAAGGGGATGGTGGCTGTCAGCAGTCAGGGGGCACCCAGGAAGGTGAGGGGTTTTTATTTCCCTGGCCCTGCCAGGCACAGCAGACCCTCGGTCTCTGCTGCCCCTCAGCACAGTGAGGTCCTGGTGCAGCAGCACCCACACGAGACCCATCCATCACGCAGGGGACCCCTCAAGCTGCCTCCACCTGGGGCCAGGGCAGCACCGGAGCCACAGGCTGAGCACTGACCCCACCAGCAAGGCCAGGTGTCACTGAGCCCCCTCCCCAGGTACAAGGGGCAGAGAGCACCAGCTCCACATACACCAGGGCTGTTGCTCTGCACTGGGTGAAGAAAAAGCGTGGGATAGAGGGGACAGGGATGGGGACAGGGAGGCAGCAGCTGCTGAAGGGCAAGAGGACTATGTTCAGCACAGCTGCTGACTCAGCTACAGAGATGGGATCTGTCCTGCCCTGTCACTGACAGGAAATCAGCCAGGAAGGTGTCATAAGTTCAAAGGGCTGAAAACTAAAAGGTCTTAACACAAGGGGAGAGCTCCCCTGGCTCATGGGATTAAATACTGAGTCTCTGTGCTGCTTTTACCTGGTTTCCAAACACTTTGGCCCCAAGGACTTTCCTGTTAATCGTCCCATCTTCGTTCAAGATCTCTGCAAGACAGAAGCACAACAGGTTTGGGAGGAACAAACCCAACTCCCATCCCTGGGGTAAGCCTGGGTCAGGGAAACAGCTTTGGCACAGGGCTCTCAACGGGACACAGAAAGGGCCTGCAAGACCTGACCTGGCAGCTCTTCACCTGACTCATGGAAAGGACAGGGAAGAACTCATCCCAGGCAAACAGCAGCCCAGTTCAGCCTTCCCCACCAGCAGTTCTGACACGGGACACACCATATCTGGGCAGCCCAAAACCCATGGGGCAGGAGGGGGACACAGGCCAGGGCTCCTTGCGATGTTGGGACACCCCTCCCTCCCCCTCCTCCTCCCAGTCCTCCCCACAGCCTCTGGTGGCTCTACCTGCCCCAAAGGCTGCCACCACCCGCTCGTAGGCCGGGCCACCAGGGACATAGACGGCGTGGCCCAGCTTGTCAGCATCGATGACAAAGGCGCCCAGGTGCCCCAGGAGTTTGGCGATGGAGGTTTTCCCACTCCCGGTGCCCCCCGTGAGGCCAATCACGTACGGGCGTGACGGCAAGGCCGGGTCTCGCTAAGGGAAGAAGGAAAGCCATGGCAGCAAAGGGAGGACTGGACTTTGCTGGAGAAGGATCCCAATGCCCCAGCCCTGGAGATGGGCATGACAGGCTCTGGCCTGCAGAGCAGCAGGAGCGCTGCCAAACTCTGCGGACCCCGAGACTCCCACCCCTCCTCCCAAGGAGCTCCCATCGCTGTGGTTCTCCCTCACCCGTGGGGGCTGCAGCAGCGTCCCCAGCAGCCTCTGCCGGAGGCTGGAGGAGCTGATCTTCTCCTCCTCGTTCTGTCGGTGGTCAGGGTCCTTCAGCAGCTGGATCTCGTGGAGGGCCAGCTCAGGGAGCCCCTGAGGAGAAAAGGAATCCCCAAGAGCCATCAGCCATAAGAGTGTGGCAGGCAGGGGAAATGAGTCCCGATTTGTCCCCGGGCAGTGTCGGGCAGGGGCAAGAGGGGTGCAGGGGCAGCCCTGGGCTCCAGGGAGGGAATTACGTTTTCAAGTCTCTTCCTATTCACGGCCTCCCCTCCCCGGCGGGTCTCCTCGCTGACCACCAGGCACTGCAGGTGGGGGTCTGTGACCGAGGGGCCGAAGGGGTCGGCCAGAGGCACGATGTCGTAGCTCAGCGAGGGCTTCACGTCCTCCAGGAACTCGCGAAGCTTTGCCGCCCGCAGCTCGTAGGGCTCGATCAGCTCCGGCAGAACCTTGTCTACCAGGTGCCAGGAGGGGTGGGGGAGCACAAGAGTGGCAGAGAAACAAGACCAGGAGAAGGGAGACAAAACTCGTTCACGACTTTGAGTGGCTGCTCCCTCCTGCCCTTGCACCCACACACCTTGCTAGCTGTGGACAGGACACCAGGTCCCCACCGGGTACCCAGTGTCACCTTGCCTGGCTGGCAACCGCTTTGGGTGGGTGGCTGCCAGGACCCCCCGCGTCAGTGGTCCCCCAGACCACCGCCCTGCCCCGGCCAGCACCAGGCTGACCCCTCGGCCACCCCGGACTCACGGCGGAGCAGGTCTCCGTCGGCCACCCCGGCCAGGAGCCGCCGCCGGGCCAGGAGGCAGCAGGCGCTGAGCAGGAGCCGGTGGGCGCCGTGGAGCCGGTCGAAGGTGCCGCCGACCGCCACGTCCAAGAATTCGGGGAGCGTCGCGCCGGGATCCTGCTCGGGGTCCCCCTGGGGGTCCCCGCCGCCGGTGTCCTCGCCCAGCAGCAGCGCGGGCAGGCTGGGCGGGCAGCCGTACACGGCCGCGGCCAGGCGCTGCAGCCCGAGCTGCACCGGCTCCGGCGGCCCCGGCGCCTCGGCGGCGGCCGCCAGCAGGACGCGGGGCGGCCGTGCCAGGCGGCGGCCGGGGTCGAGCAGGACGCGCAGGTCCAGCCCCTGCCGCGCCGCCGCCGCCTCGTACAGCGCGGCCAGAGTCCGCAGCAGCGCGGGGCCCGCGGGCGGCGCGGCGGGGCCGGGGCCGGTGGGGCCGCCCAGCCGCAGCCCCGGCTGCAGGTGCACGTACAGCGGCCCCGCCACCAGCCCCGCCGCCGCCGCCACCAGCCCCGCCGCCCGCCGGGGCAGCGCGGGCAGCGGCGCCGTCAGCACCAGCAGCCCCGAGGGGAAGGGCGGCATCGCCCCGCCGGATGCGCCGCCGACCGGAACGGGGACGGCACCGGCAGCGGAACGGCACCGCCTCCCGGGCGGCCCCGGCGCGGCTCCGCCCGCGGGGGGAGGTGACCGGCAGGCCCGGCCCCGGCGCGGCCCCGCCTGGCCGGCACTGAGCGACAGGGACGGAGCCGGAGCTGTGCGACTGCAAAAGGGCTTTATTGGGGACACGGCAGGACACCGCAAGGAGCCCGACCCAGCTCCGCTCAGGGTTGATCCCCGCCGACTTCGCTGCCGCCGAACACGAAGTCGTGCATGGCGCGGACGTACGCGGAGCCGTCGGGGCTGCCGAGCCGCAAACGCCAGAGCGGGGCGAGGAGCTGGGTGCTGGCGCAGCGCAGGGGCGGGCAGAGGCTGACGATGGCCTCCAGGAACACCTGGTACCGCAGAGGGGTCAGAGCCGTCCCCGGCGCGGCTCCACGGCCACCCCCGTCCCGCGCGGACTCACCGGCAGGACCTCCTCCACCTCCTGCGCCGCGTCGCGGAACAGGCTCTGGCAGTGCCGCAGGTACCGGCGGTACAGCCCCCGCGTCTCGGCGTCCAGGCCCTGCAGCTCGGTGCCCTCGGGGTCCGGGCACTGTAGGTTGGCCAGGAAGCTGGTGTGGACGGGCCCGCACTCCACCAGTGTCACGCTGCGGGAAGGAGCGCGTGAGACGACACCGTATTCCCAGCCCTGGCATCTCCCCGTCCCGGCGGGCGGTCGGCAGGATCCAGCCCCCGCGGCACCGCCGGCACTCACTGGATGTTGAAGGGACGCAGGACGATGGCCAGGCTCTCGCACAGCCCCTCCACCGCAAACTTGCTGGCGCAGTACACGGCATTGAAGGGTAGCCCTGGGGCAGAGCCGCACCCTGAGCACTGGGGCTCTTCCCCGCGGCTCCCCACGCCCCAGGGTGCCAGGGGTCCCACCTTGCAGCCCCCCGATGCTGCTGGAAACAATGATCCGCCCGGCCCTGCGGCGCTTCATGGCGGGCAGGAATGCCTGGATGGTGCGGACGGCCCCAAAGAAGTTGACATCGAAGAGGGTTTTCATGGCCTGGTCAGAGCAGGTCTCCAGGGGGCCCATCAGTCCCACCCCCGCGTTGCAGACTGCAGGGCATGGTGCAGTCAGATGGGCACTGCAGCCCCCACACACCACTGAGTGCCAGAAGGCAGGAATGGGGGGGCCTTTCCCTGCTGATGGGCCCTTGGCACCCCCAAACCCATCTCCTGCAGCCCTCCCCTGCTGAACACATCCAGCCCCAGGACTGCTGGCATCTCCCATGATTTGGCATCTACATTATGGAAGAGGGCTGTGACCCTGGAGATGTCCTCCCAGCCACCCAAGGGAGCAACAGAAAGAGTCATACCCAACACGTCCAGGCGCTGCTCCTGCACCCGCTGCGCAGCGGCTGCCAGCGAGTGCGGGTCAGTGACATCGAGCTGCAGGAGCTCCAGCGTGTCAGGGCAGTGGCTGCCCAGGTGCTCCAGCAGCCGCTCGCCCTTGGCCAGGTCGCGCATGGTGGCGTAAACTGGGGAGAGAGTGCGGCCACGGGCAGCGAGGCCACAGAGCCCACCCCCCCCAGGGCTGACCCCAGCCCACCCCCAGGCACTGTCTGTCCTTGTTGAGGTGCTGCCTGGCCCAGCCTGGAGAACCCCCAGGGGTGCTGGACCCCCCAGGGGCAGCACTGTCCCTTTACCTTTGAACCGGCGAGCGCTGTCGGCTGCCAGGCGAGCGGCCAGTCCCAGCCCAATGCCCGAGGAGCAGCCCGTGATCAGCACCGTGGTTCTCTCCATGGCCCACAGTGCTGGCTGAGGGGGCCGTGCTGCTTAAGAGGGCTGGGAGGAGGGTCCCCCCACCCTACCCCACATTGTTGTGTCTGCTGCCTTATCTCAAGGCCCCTCCACCGACCGCCCTGTGCGTGCCTGGGGCTCCCTGCGCCTTGATGCTCTCACAGGTGCTGCGATAACGACCCTTGTGGGGGGAGGCTCTGGGGCACAAGGGGAGCTGCAGCCACGGGGAATCCACACCAGCCACCCTGTGCTGTGCCAGGCGCTCCAGCTGCCAGGACTTGTCTGGCAGTGCACTGTTCCCGCTATGTGGGCTTAGAGCCAAGCTGCTCCTCTACCCCTTGTGTTCCACACAGTCCTGCACTGGGGAGATGAGCTAGGAGGAAAGAGTCTTTATTTGCTCCACAGCCAGGCTCTGCCTGAGCTCCAGCTGGAGAAAAGGCCTCAAAAACCCCATCCTGATGGAGCACGGCCTCAGCAATGCTCCAGGAAATGCCACTAAGTCTTTTATGATACAGAAGGCACCAAACAGGGGCAGGGCTGTGCAGTACTGGGTCCCTGCAGGCACTGGGGTCCAGGGATGCTCTGCCCCTACACCACTGCCACCTCCCTGCTTCTCCACCATCACTGCCCCTGTGAGCCAGCCAGAGCCCCACAGCAGGGACACGTCTGTCCTGACCCTCTGCAGAATCTCCCCAAGCTTCCAACTGGGAGCACTGGGGCAGCCCAGCTTTCCAGGGGATAGGTTCAGGGCAGACAGGCAGGGCTGGGCACAGAGCACAGTGCAAGATGTGTCCCTGGGGCACAGCCTGCCCCTCATCCATCTGCCAGGCCCCATCAGGGAACGTCCTGCCTACACAGGAGAAACAAGGGGTCCAGGCTGGCTGGGTGCCACCAGGGCTGGTGCACCCCTTCCAGTACAACCAGGATGCAGCCATCAGGTCAGGAGTTGCAGGAGCCTGGATGAGGAGGGCAGTGAGGGCTCTGCCCTCCCTTCCTGGGGGAGGCTCTGGAGGCACAGTCCAAAGTCATGCCAGCCGAGCCTGGCTGTGCCTCATGGCACTGGGGTAGTATTTGAGGAACAGCTTCCTGGAGATCTCCAGCGTGTCCCCAGCCGGCACGGCCGGGTAGCGCTTCCTGTTGTAGACGAAGCCTCTCTCCACTTGGAAGACAGCCTGGTTGAACTCGTCCTGGTGGAAGGGGCGGCCCGAGTTGAGACTTTCCACCAGCACAGAGACGAAGAGGCTCCAGCGCACACCGTAGTAGTCCAGCACCAGCCCCCCCAGCTGCTTGTTGGCGTAGTCCAGGATGTTCCCATTGGGCCCCCAGAGCGTCACCTGGTTCCGGGCATTCAGCTCGTACTGCTCTGCCTCCCGGTCGCTGGTGGCCATGGCGCGGGCGCTCTCCAGCCAGCGGCCGAGCAGGAAGAGGCTGTGGCTGGAGAGGAGGCTGTCCAGCTCGGGCAGCAGGTCGTACACCAGCACGCCGCCGGCCGTCAGCAGCTCCGGCAGCGCGTGGCTCTGGAAGGCGCTGCGGATGTCCAGGTAGTAGTTGCTCACCAGCTGCTGGGCTGCCTGCCGCGTCACATCCACCAGGTCGTAGCGGAAGGTGGGGCTGGAGCCCAGCTCGGCGCTGGCGCTCAGCAGCAGGCGCCAGGCCTCGTACACATCGCTGGCGTTGTACCAGAGCTCCGTGTCCATGTGCAGCGAGGGCCGGCGCACCAGCGGGCTGCGGTTGTGGTTGACGCAGACGCCGGTGCAGTTGTACACGCTGCGGAGGAGCAGGCGCCAGGCGGCGGCTGCAGCAGCGTTCGGGGCGCCGTAGCGGCGCTCAGCGTAGCGGGACACCCAGCTGGAGAGGTTGAGGGGCTCCTGCCGCCAGCCCAGCTCGTTCATCAGCTCGTACACCATGTCGTTCTGCTCGATGCCCTCAGGCACCAGCCCTGTGCCCACCATGGTGGAGTTGGGGAAGCGCCGAGCCACGAAAGGGCCGTGGTTGATGGCCTCCACGGTGCCGAAGAGGCCGTGGTTGCCCCCAAAGTTGTGCAGCATGCACCAGATGAAGGGTTGCCCGTAGAAGGACTCTGTCCACTGGTAGACAGGTTTGGACTCAGCAAAGAGGTCAAGAACAATCATCCTGCCGAGGGGCACTCCGTGCAGGAGGGCCCGCACCTGTGCCGGGTGCCAGAAGTCTGGCTGGTGCTGGAAGAGCCATCCCTGCATCAGCCACAGCGCCTTGGGGTCAGCTGTGGATGGAGGAGCACAGGGTGAGGTCCCCTCCAGGAAGGGCCCACAGGTGTCCCAGGAGGCCCTGGGGCCACCAACCACCCCTTTTGGAAGGGTCTTTGAGGGTCTGGCACCAGCGGGGTCTGTTGAGCGCAGGCAGCTCAGCGCTTGCATGGGGCCCACAGCCTCCTTCCCCAGCCCCAGTTATTCCTGGGGCCTCACAGCCAGGCTGGCACCACACACTGACCCACCTCCTGTCATCGACCTGAAGACAGCATTGCTGACCCTCGAGAGATAGGCAGGGTCAGAGGAGAGCGGCATCATCTCATTGAAGACGTCAGCACTATAGACGTGGTCTGTGCCGAACTCCTTGATCAGCTCCTTCAGGAAGAGGGTCCCGATCACCTGGAACATGGAGTCCTCTGGGTCCAGCAGGTAGATACACGAGTAGGTGCAGTCGAAGTGGCTCCAGCCCCCCAGGCGAGTGGCATTCACGCGTGGGAAGACCCTGCACCAGAGGGCAGAGATGGGGATCAGGAGTAGGGCAGGACAGGAGCACTGTGTCCCTGCAGGGACAGTGCACCCTCTTAGGGAAGCCACAGGTGGGAGGTGCCATAGGTGCTGTTATGCCACAGGTGTGACCCTGGAAAGTGCCCAGGGCAGGGCGAGGGCAGCACCTACCGAAGGATCCCCTGCGGCACATGGCCCGCGAAGGCTGGCAGCACTGTGGTCATCCCCAGCGAGCGCATCCGCTCCACGATCCGGTACTGGGAGAGAGAAGGAGGGAGAGAGCAGGGAGAGAGGAGGCCACGCCTCCCCCGCGAGGGGCTCCAAGAGCTGCTGGAGCTCGGGGGGGGACACGGGGGTCCCCGAGGCTCCGTGAGCACGGCCAGGGCAGGGGGTGTCAGGGGTCTGCCCCGGACGGGCGTGGCCGCCCCGGTACCTGCAGGTAGAGCTGCTTGAGGTGCCAGGAGGGCGGCAGCGGTCCGGCCCAGCGGCGGAGGTTCCCCATCCGGTTCCAGGCCAGGAACGCCGGGCCTGTGAAGTGCTTGTCGATCTCCGACTGGTTCAGCCCAAGGCTGTGGTAAACCTGCGCCGGGGTGCCGGGGGGTCAGCCGGTCCCGGTGTCTCCCGGTCCCCGCCGCCCTGCCGGCCCCACTCCTCACCCGCTGCCACACCGCCTCCTGCCCAGCGAAGGCCGGCGCCAGGTTGATGCCGCTCAGCGCCATCCAATCGATCTCCCGCTCCCAGCGCGCCCAGTCCCACCAGGCGAAGGAGTAGCTCTGGGCGCACACGTTCTGGTAGTAGCGGTACCTGCGGGAGCGGCGGAGGCTGCGCCCGGGCCGCCCCGCGCCCCCGGGGCCCCCGTTACATAACGGCGCCTTGTCCCGCGCTAACGAGGCGTGAGCGGCTCCGCGCGGCCCCGCGGCCCCGTTACCTGCCGTTACCTGCCGGGGGCGGCGGCGCGGATCTCGGCCCGCAGCCGCGGCAGCGGGTCGGGCAGGCGGAGCTGCGCCCCGGACCACGACAGGTGGCAGCCGCAGAAGTCGCGCAGGTAGCGGTAGAGGCCGGCGGCCGCCGCCACGCCGCTGGAGCCCGTCACGGACACGGCCACGGCGGCGCCGGGCGGCGACCACAGGCGGTACGCGTCGGGCCCGCCCGCCGCCAGCGCCGGCTCCACCGACAGCGACACGGCGGCGGCCCGCGGGCCGAGCAGGCGCTGCGCCAGCGCCCGCACCGCCGCCTCCTGCCGCGGGTCCCCCGCCCGCGCCGCCGCCAGCAGGAGCAGGAATGGCAGCGCCAACGCCAGCCCCGGTCCCGGTCCCCGCCGCGCTGCCATCGCCGCTTCCTGCCCCTTCGCCAGGCCCCGCCTCTCCCGGTACCGTCCCGCCTCTCCCGGCCCCGCCGCGCTGGGCGGTCCCGGTGCCGGGGGCCGGGCCTGAGCCGGCAGCGGGGCGGGGCGGCTTCAGTGGGCGGGCTCCGGCCCCTCGGAGCGGGGACGTACCGGGCCGGGGCTGGGGACAGGCGCTGCCTGTGCCCCGGGGCCACCGCGGCCCCTTCCCCGCCCGCTCAGGGGGACCCCCGCGGGACGGGACCCCCGGCCAGGGCGAGTCTGGCACCGGCAGCTCCGGACATTTCGCGTTTCCCACCCGTGAGGGCTTCCGCCCCTGGGGCAAACGGCGGTCCCGGAGCATCCGCCAGCCCGGGCCCCGCTCCGGCCGGGCGGGGGCGCTGCGAGACCGGGCAGGGGCCGCCGCCGGTGCCCCGGGCAGGGGAACGCCCCGGGCCCGGCCTCCCCCTCCGCCCCGAGGGGCCCGGGCTCGGGCTGCCGGGGTCTCCCAAAGCTCCAGGGCCATTCGTGGGCACTGCCAGGACAGAGCTCGGGGCTCCCCGAGCATTCCCAGTGCAGCCCACGGGAGCCCCCAGGGCGGCCCTGTGGCCCCGGAGCCATGGAAACGGGCAGAGATATTGCGATTGCGCTCGGGAGTGGTGCAAGAGCGCAGGGGAGCGGGTGAAAGAGGAGAGCATCCCCCGGGACCGCCGGTACCCATAGCGGTGGGAGAGCATCCCCCGGGACGGCGGGGAGCCGGCCCCTCGTCCGAGGGGTGCGGGAAATGCAGCGCAGCTCCTGCCCTGCCGGGACATCAGGAGACGGGAAACACACCGACTTCAGCGACACAATCGCCAAAACCCCGCAGAACCCTCCCTTCCGCTGCTCCGCACATGTGGAAAAAGCCCTGCTGCAGGAAGGGCCTGAGTAAACACGGCTCCCCCGGGGGGGAGCGGGGGGTCCCTGCGGCTGGGGGGGCCGGGAGCAGGGCACAGACCCAGGCACGCAGATCGTGTTGCCCCACTCCCCATCAACAGCACCCAGGTTAATCAAACCGGAGCTTTTCCTCCTCCATAACTCCTCGTTCCACCCACGTTACGGGGTTTTATCGGGGTGGGGAGGAGGCCCCAGGACAAACAGCCCCAGCCCCGTCTTCACTCAGGATGTCACCGGGGCTCGATAAGTGCAGGGACAT